CAGGATCCCGTCCTTGTCCATCTTCATGCCCTCCGTCGGTAAGATGCGCAGCACCTTTTGGAAGTACTTGTCGCGCACGACCAGTGCCGGCCGGATCCAGGCGCCGCGCACCAGCGGCACTAGTCGATAGGAGGTGGCGCGCCGGGACATGGGCAGCACATGGATTGTGGTCAGCTTGGCGCCCGAAAAGGCAAAGTCGGCGGATGGCTCCATGCTGACACCAAACGTGAGGAAGTGGTTGGAGGCGTTCTCGATGGCGAGGGTGAGCTGGATCGCTGGTACGGGTGCGGAGGGCCGGCTGTAGGCGACAGACGCCAATACACGGGGCTCGGTGCCGAAGAGGCTTAGCTGTGGGACGGGGAGCGTGGTGGTGTTTGTGGGCAACGGTGCGACCGATCCGGCCGATCCGGCAGGGGAGCCTGGCGGTGCAAGGCGCTGCCACGTAATGACAAACGACACATCCAGCTGCACCGGATCGCGGTCGTCGAGGCTCGCCTTCTGCACGACCAGGTCGAACCGGGACTCTTCCATGGTCTGCGGCTTGATGGTCAGAGCACCGTCAGCATCCCTTGTCTGGGGTGTGCCGTTGTCGTTTCCATTGTGGCTTGCGGCGTCGGTTCTCGTATGCTGGACGGAAATTCTGGGTTCGGGCTGGATGACAAGGTCCAGATCGACAACGCGCAGGTCTTCAGTGGCAAACGATGCATAGCGCGTGACGAGGGCCCACGCCTGCGTCAAGCCGTGGAAGCCCCGGTTCACGGCATCGGCGTCCTCTGGTGTGCCGGTCGCCACGATGCCCTCGTTGTCGAACAAGCTGGGCCAGGCAGCTGGGTGCATGCGCGGGAGCAAGTCGTAGTTGGCCTCGAAGGGATTGCTGAGGCTCAGCTTCACAGAGAGTTGCTGGGTGATGGGCGTGGCTGTGTCGCTCACAAGGTGGTAGGCGGCGCGAAGGGTGAGATCCAAGTCCATGGAAGGTGTTGTGGGAGGGATGCGGATGGCAATGGCAACGGAATGGCCAGCCTTGACATGGCCTAGGGGCACAGACCGCAGCATGGCCGTTGGCGGTGTTGGCGAGGCGATGTCTGTTGTTTGTGGCTCTGCGGTATCGATCTCGTCGCCTGCCACCAGCAGCGTGAAGCCGGGCGTGCTGCTGCCGCTCGCGCCAGCCTCGTCGCTGCCCCCTTCCATGATGACATCCAACTTGACACTGGCGTCGGCATCCTCTGCATTGACGAGCTCGAGGGCCAGGTCGATGGCCTCGTTGGTGTAGTACTGGACAGTCGGGATCGGTGTGGCAGCGGCAGTTGCCACAGGAGCATGTAGCAACTGAATATCCAGCTTGGGGGGCCTTGGCAGGATTTTGATCGCCTGGCTGTCGGCCCGAGGCACAGACACGCGCCCACCCGCACGGGGCAGGAACCATGTCGGGGTTCGGCCACGGCTGCCCTCGCCAGCAACATACGACGCCAGGGGCAGCTTCATCTGTAGCGAGTACAAAGGGCATCGGTAGACGAGGTCCGCCGAAACAGCGTGGGCGTCGCCCGGTTGCCGGAGTGGAATGGCCAATTCAAAGACAAGGGTTGACTGCGGCTGTAATGTCAGGTTCGCTGATCCATGGAGACCCAGCACGCGTGTCTCGTCGTCATCGTCACCGCCATTGATGGTTTTGGTCCCTGCGCCTGGATCGTCCTCGTCCTCCTCTTCCAGGTGTATTGTAGAATGTGTTGTTTTGCCCTTGGTGAAGAATGTTGCGGTTGCATCGGCACTGTGCCTGAGCACGATTGGCTTGATGCTGCTGTTGAACTGTAGATGCAGTTCTTCCAACACAATGGGCACAGAGTTGGCGAGCGCATCAGAACGTATTGTGAGCTGTGCCAAAGCAGCCTCACCCGCCTTTCCTTCGCCGTTCTTGAAGACAAACGCAGCCGACAAGAAGGACGGTGGCGGTGTGCCTTCGGGCAGCTTGACGGCAACCGGCACACTATCCGCCTCTTGCTGGCCTTGGACGCCCTTGGAAGATGCGGGCAACGACTTGGCTACATCGTATGCCCAGTCTGGCCGTCGTGTATACTGCGCATGGAGAAGCTCCCAGTCGATGGAGACAAGCAGATCGGGCCGCGGCTCCTCGAGCTCTGCGACGGCGGTTCGCAGCGTCCAGGCCAGATCCTCGCGCACGTCCAACCACGACGACCACCCGGTTGCTGCGCTTGACGAGGTCCACAAGGGCGCCAGCAAGTCGACGGCGGCGTCCCACTGCTTCGCCGACACATACTCGCGGCCGCACTCGAGCGCCAACTCGGCAGCGACATGCGTCTGGCGCCGCTGGAGGAACTCGTCCCGCGCCAGTTCCAGGTAGGTGACGATGGCGGCCGAATGGTTGACGCCCGGACCATGCCCCGCCAGCGGGTATTCGCTGTGCGGCGGCGGGCACATGTAGTCGTCGTACGAAAAGGCGCGGTTGGCGACGTGGGACGCAGGCGAGACGTCGGGCGGGCGGCGGTCGTCGTCGGGGATCTGGTGTGCCAGGGCACGCCGTGCCGCCGTGTGGCGGGCCGCGATGCGGTACCAGTAGCCGCGGTGATGGAGAAACTCCCAGGGCGCGAGCCGCTCGGCAATCATGTTGCGCTCGGGCAGCAAGAAGAGGTTGCGGCCCGACCGTGGATCCAGCTCGGGAACACCGACACGGCGGATCAGGTCGGCCATGACGACAGCCCAGCGCGCCTCCCACGCCTGCCAGCCGTAGTTGGCGGTGCCGCGCCCGCGGGTGTCCAGCAGATTCCGCAGACGATCGCGATAGACGGTCCAGCGTCGCACGGCCGAGCTGTACTGGCCAGCCATCAGGAGGCACCGCAGACTGCGCACTGCCAGCGTGTCGACGAGAAGGCGCGCCTCGTTCCACCGCGGGCTCCAGTGCGGGATCGCTTCGGCCAACACTTCTGGCCCGAGCAGGTTCTCATAGGCCTGGTCGAGCAGGCGCAACGCAGCGTCTGTTTCTTGGCGAAACTCGGCAATCACGGCGGCCTTGACGTCATAGCGGACATGCCACCCGGCGAGCGAAAGGGTTTGCGAGGTGCCGCTGGTTGGTGGAACGGAAGGCTGAGGTGCCGATCCACGGCCGCGTTTCTTGCGGAGGTGGCGGCCCAGTTCCCGGTAGTAGTCCATGGCGACCGTGTAGACGTTGGTCAGCATGTTCTCCGCCACGCGGTGTAATTCGTCAGCGGGAGCACCCGCAGCTGTGGTGGCCGGGATGGCAAAGAACATTTTCGTATCGGTGCCGCTTCCCTTGCGGATGTTCTCCAGACGCTCCTGCGCCACGCCATCCGTGCTGCTGTTGCTGTCGTCGCCAGGAGCGGTAAAGAAGACGGCGACGGCCACGCGAGAGCGGTAGCCAGACTGTTGCACGGCAGTCCGAAAGGCGTTGATGTCGGACTTGATCTTGTTGTCCTGGAGAGTTGCGGTCGTCGGGTCGGATGTCAGAGAGTAGAAGCAGAGGAAGACACTCGGAACGATCTCTTGGTGCTTCTGGATCCAGCGAAAGTCGATGATGCCATCTGGGTAGAGATGGCATGACGGGCTGAGTGGCGAAAAGGGAGAGTGGAGGACGACGCTCTGCGGCTCGGGCGCTTCAAAGTTTTCGGGCAGGCGAGCTCGGCGCGGCGGGAAGTAATATGTCTGGCTACGTTAGCAGGTGACGATGGATCAAAAGAGAGACAGAATGGCCCAAGCACACAAAGCACGCTAAGCACACTCACCCTTCCTGCCGTCCGTACGCGGAACCGGTACCGTTGTGAGCTGGCCCGGCCACGCCACTTTTGTGATCCTGCCGGCACAGGGCCCGAGACATCGCCAGTCGATATATAGCGGCTGAACTCGGTGACGGGCTTGCCGTCGAGCACGGGCAACTCGGACCGCAAGAGTGTGGCCTGGTCTTTCAGCTCGGCATCCAGTGTCCACGAGCTTGTGTCGTCGCCAGAGTCGCCGACTGCCGGCAGGCCGATCGTGACGAGTAACGGGATGTTCTGCGTCAGGCTGTAGGCGGGATAGGCATCCATGGTGCAGGGCTGGCGGTCCTGTGTCGGACGAAATGTGTACAGGATGCGTCCCCGAGGCCGTTCTCACCGGGACTGGCCCTCTCCAGGTCGCGTCCGCCGATGTTGCCGTCGCTATCCTCGTCCAAGATATCGCGACTTTTTGTTTCTTGCAGCTCGATGTGGGGGAGGGGAAAGGGGCCCGGCGGCGTAGGTTAAGAGCTCTGCATGTGATCAGGTACTCGTATGCGCTCGTGAATGGATTGCAAACGTACGTTCACCCGTGCAGCTTCTTAACTGAGTGCGCTGCTAGGTTTGCGCGGCTCCGGTGACGACTGATTGTTTGTGAAGCTGACAGTAGCTCTAGGATGTCATACAGCGGACATCGACCCTATGGAGCACATCGCAGGCTACTGTGACTAGCTGCTGTGATTGGCCAGGAACGCTCGACAGCTACCCAGACTGCCAGGTAAACAGTACCTCAGCTTGTACACAAATTAGATGAGGACTTATGTATCCTGTCTTGGAACACTTGGACCCATATTTAAAGGTGATATGGCCAATCAAGTGCTTCATAGCGGCGACTGTGCCAGGGCGGTGAACGCGAGGTTGTCTCTGTGGCATGACTAGGAAGCGGCAGAAAACGAGGAGGCTATGGAGGGCAGAGCACAGAGGGCGTCTGCGCCGGCAGTCGTTGCGATCGACCACTCAATTCCACCAACTTTGCTCTTCCTCCCTCCACCGACACAGACGACGGCCAGCGACCCCTTGGGCGACTATATATCCATAACCGCATTGCGACGCCTGCATTTACACTTTTAGACTTGAATCACGACGTTGGCGTTGCTGGCTTTCGTTGTCGCTCGAGCATCCGCCGGCAAAAGACCGATTCTCTTCCCTCTCTGCCACCTCGTCCAGTTTTCGACCCTCCTTGACACTCCCCAGCTGTCTTCGGGCACACAAAACGCCACAATGGCCGCACGCGACCAGGCTGTCTTCTTGGAGACCGTCATCGGCCTCCAGCGCGCCCTCAAGCGGCGACCGTTTGGTGAGTCTTTTGCCGGGACCGTCGCCCTCTTTGACGCGCCTTTCTAGCTTTGCCCTTTGCGCCACAGCTGAACCGGCCGAATGCTGACCATATCCACGCTGATCTACAACAGACTCCGACTCCGACTCCGACGTCGACCACAGTACAAATCGCGGCAGCAAGCTCAAGCGCCGCGCGCGGTTTGTACGCCAAGGCCACCTGGGTGCTGCGGATGGCCTGACGGTGTTCACCGAGACCGTCGAACACGGCGGCTACCGCCGCGAGATTATCAGCCACAATCCGGCGCTGATCGACGACGAGGGGTATGAGGTGGACAGCGACGAGGACGACGATGCCGTCGTCCAGGACGCCGAGGCAGCGGCGGCCGAGCAGAACCCGTACGCCGGCATTCAATTAGAGCGTGAGTTTGAGCGGACCACACTTGCGCACACAGCCAATGGACCCGTGCCAACTATACTAACTATACGAACTATGCTTCAGATCTCCTTGCCCCTCTGACTGCCGTCACCGACCTGCCCAACCACCCGTCGCTCTCGCGTCCGTTTACGAACAAGGCCCTGACCGAGCTCGCGACGCAAGGCAGCAATTGGATGCACAAGGAGAGCGCGGCACTATGGAAAGTAAAGCCGCTGCTGATCAAGTTGTGTGGCGACCATATCTGGGTGGACAGCGGGCTGCTGGTCACCCCCGACGACGCCGACCTGTTTGACGACGAGCATGTGGCGCGCCTGGCGACGGCGCGCGGGTCCACAGGGCCGCCCGCTGGTCTGTTGGAAGACAGGCCGAGCGCGTCGAGGCAGGGTGACGCGGACGACAAAGACAAGGCGGTGGGCGATGCAGAGCCCGACCCCACCCCCGACTCGACCATGCCAGACGCAAGTGACGAAGCAGACACAGCCGCCGCCGGGAGGAACGATGCACAGTCCAATGGCGACCGCGCAGTAATACCCCGAGGCGGCGAGGCAGACGATGATGGCCGAGCGCTGGCGGGCGTTGGCGGCGGCGACGAGGACGCGGACGAGGAGGAGGAGGAGGAGGAGGGCACCATCCACCCGCTCTTCCTGGCGCCCCGGTCTGCACGCCCCGAGCCCAACCTGGGGCTGCCAGAAGCCGAGGCCGAGGACGTGCGGCGGCTGCTGCAGCTCTGGGTGCAGAAGCAGGAGGAGGTCTCGCGCGGCACGAAGAAACTGCACGAGGGCCTGCTGCGCGCCGACCGCCTGCGGCATACCGTCCTGCGGTGGGCCAAGGCCGAGGCGCACAGCGGGCCGAACCGGGACATGTCGGACGGTGAGGACTGGTACGACCAGGAAGAATGGGGGCTGGAAGAAGACCTGAAAAAGGGCCACGACGAAGAGGAAGAAGACCAGCAGTTGCCGAACAAGAAGACGCGCAACCGAAAGTAGAGCGAAAGAGAGAAAGAGAGAACAGACAGGACAGAGGGCGTCAGAGAGCCACTGTACCGATACGCGCACGAAGCCCTATTTTTCTTGCATTTATATATCCAATACAGTTTACTACCAGCACAGCAAGCATTGCTCGGAGCAGATATGGCAAGTAGCAGGGGAGGATGGGAGGTCGAAGCTAGTCTCATGTGACCTCTCATTTTGTTTTGGGCTTACTTGGGCTTACTTGGGCTTTACTTTGCTGTAGCACATCTACGTATCAAGACCACGTCCACCTCGATCAAGTCCACCCATCGTAAACGACCTTGCCTCAGCCGTGCGTCGGCGGCGGAAAGGCGCCCACAATCTGCTCCTCGAAGAAATTGGCATTGTCGACACTGCCTCCCTCGTACCGGAACGCGGCCGGCGCGGCATACGCGTCGTAGTTGAGCGACGTGTTGATGCCCAGCTCGACCCAGGCCAAGAGGCCGTAGGCCGGGTCGGCGTTGTCGCCCACAAAGACATACTCGACAAAGGGATCGTAGGTCGGCGAGGCCGGGAAGCCGGTGAACAGGTCCTGGGCATTGGTGGTCAGGGGCACGGGGTTGGCATTGTACGGCGACGTCTGCTCGACCTGGTGGATCAGGGCCTGGTCGAAAAAGAGCTGCGAAATGTGCGCGACGGTGCCGCCCGTGTACGACTGGTTCGTCGCGGCCAGCGCGGCGCCGATGTGGGCGACCACGTGCTGGTGCGTGGCCCGGCCCAGGTAGTGGCCGGGGAAGTTGGTGTCAAAGGCGACGACGCCGTCGGCATTGCTCATCTGGACGCCGCGCAAAAACGTCGTGTTGAGGCCGCCCTGGCCGGCGGCGGACACGCCCGAGTAGGCGCCCGTGGCGTTGCAGGCCCAGACGTCGACCAAGACCGCCTGCGCGGGCAGGCAGGTCTCCACGTCGATGAGCTGCAGCTCGAGGTGCATCGGGATGCCGGGCTGGCCGTCGGTCAGGTCCGACCGCACGTCCTCGCCCCACACAAAATACGGGCCCTCAATGTTGTCGGGCGTCAGGACGCAGCTTGTGTTGGCGCCAAAGACGGTGTGGGACGGCGTGTCGCTGTCCCAGTGGCGGAGGCCCGTGAGGTTGTGGGACGCGGCGTTGTAGCGTGCAAAGTCGGCATTGGCACGGCGCTCGACCGTGTTCACTGTGAATGGGGGAGTGGAGTCAGTGTCCTGTTCCATTGACGCAGGTGGCGGAGAGTATGGAAATGGTAACATACAATGGTCAAGATTGTGCTGCTTGCGCAGCTCCTGGAATTTGGCATAACGGCGCTCCATGGCACGCTGCTGACGGGCAGCCACATCTTCGGCACGGCCACCGCACGCAGCATCGAGCGTTCTCTTGCTGTTGTGGGCGACCATGTGGCTGAATGCCTGCTTCTTGAGCGTCTCCTGCCGCTTCTCTGGCGAGAAAGGATGCTCGCCAGGGTGGGCTGAGACGGCGGTGGGCGAGAGGACAAGGCCTACAAAGGCGACCAGAGTAGAGAGTTTGACCATGATGTTTGATTTTGGGAGGTGCTTTGTTTGCCAAACTTGGACCGTGTGCTGTGTGCACATAGGCTGGATGCTCGTTTCTTTTATACTGGCTCTGTCTTCGTGAGTCGAAGTGCAAGAACTGCCGAACGGCCGAGCCGGTGCGATGGCCGGAAGAGACATTGGTGTGTTGCGTAACTACGTTTGGGGATTTTTGTGCCTCCATAGTGACTTGAATCGTTGCAGATTCATTTCACTCGTACGTGTTCTGTGATTTTTGTTGTCTAGATCAATGTGCTAAGGGTATAGAGGTGCGTCGAAGACGGTTTGTTTGAATACTTCACGGCTGGTACTGCCACGGATTGATGACTCTGGATGGTTTATGGGTCAGTTGATTGGTCGTATGAAGCCCAGACTCCTCGTCTTCATGACGTGTTCAAGAAAACGAGTCCTATTTTTGTCTGTGCTTACTCAAAATGTAATGTGACAGGGCCGGTCGTTCATTTATACTTTTCGGGGTTGGCTAAAGTCCGTCCCGTTTTCTGGCTACAAGGGGCGCAATCTCCGAGCCGCCATTTGCAGCCGTCTCATGAGCCCCGACAACGTCACGTCGTTGGCGTATTCGGATGTATACTGACGATCACAAAAGTGTGTCCACGTCATGTTCATATACCAATGTGATAAAATTTGATGTTTCGGTTTACATTCATCGTCCATGTCGCTTGCATATGGTCATGTTCTATTTTTGTATTTTGTATGTACAGTTTTACCAATGGAGGGACATCCTATCACGTAAAGTCCACCAAGGATGGGTCGGAGCGCACTGCGTGTATCGCGGCAGCCACGTATTTGACATTCTTTGTGTTTACTGGAAGGTTTGTGAGTATTGGTTTAGCCAAAAGACAACAAAAAGACAACAAAAAAGGGAAGAGAAAAGGGAAGAGAAAGTACGTACGGCCTGCAATCGAGATGCGTCCTGACGAGTGGATGTAGATGTGGTACGTTTCCCGCAGGTAGTTGACCTCGCGCACGGAGAGGCCCGTGTACGAGAACATGCCGATCTGGTCGATGATGTGCACCCATTTGCCCGGCGTGCCCAGGCGCACCAGCTCGTCAAACAGCGCGCGGCGCATGGCCCGGATGCGCCCGCTCATCGTCTGCAGCTCGGTGTGCCACTGCGCCGTCAGCGCCTTGCTGCCCAGCACGGCCTTGACAATGTCGGCGCCGTAGCGCGGCGACACGGAGTACTCGGACCGGATGATCTGGGCCAGGTTGGCCGTCACGGCGTCCCGCGCGGCGGGCGTGCAGCCGTCGCCGGTGGCCACGAGGTGGAACGCGCCGGCGCGGTGGCCGTAGAGCCCCAGGTTCTTGGCAAAGGACTGCGCCACGCACATCTCGACGGGCGGCTGCAGCTGCGCAAAGTGGCGGATGGCCCAGGCGTCGCGGTCCGGGTCGCCCGAGGCGAAGCCCTGGTAGGCATTGTCGAAGAAGGGGAACAGGCCCTTGCGCTGGCACAGCTCGGCCAGGACGCGCCACTGCGCCTGGGTGGGGTCGAGGCCGGTCGGGTTGTGCGCGCAGGCGTGCAGGAGAAGGACGTCGTTGGGCGCGGCCTCCGCCTCGAGCTTGTCGACCATGGCTGCAAAGTCGAGGGCACGCGTGGCGGCGTTGTAGTAGGGGTAGTAGTGCACGGGCACGCCCACCGTCTTCCAGATCAGCTCGTGGTTCGCCCAGGTCGGTGCCGACAGCCAGACGCGGCGCGGCCGCAGCGTCTCGGCCAGGAATCGGGCGCCGACGTGGTTGGCGCCGGAGCCGGAGACGGTCTGGACGGAGGTGAGGCGGTCGGCGTCACAGGCGTCGCCAAAGACAAAGTCGCGGGCCAGCGCCAGGAACTGCTGGTCGCCCTCGATGGGGATGTAGTCGTGGCGATGCGGGTCGGCCTTGTCCGCAAAGGACTGCTCGACGGTCCGGACGACGTCGAGCGGCCACGGCTCGCCGGCATCCGAGCAGTACACGCCGGCGCCGAGATTGACGCGATCCGGGTGGGTGTCTTGCCGGAACTGGCCGAGCAGCGCAAAGATCTCGTCACGCGGAGCCGACGGCAGTGCCGCAAAGTGTGACGTAGCAATCGGAACGGAACCCATGGGGTGTGGTTGGAGAGAAAAAAAGGAGAGAAAAAGTTGGAGAGAAAAAGAATAAAAAAAGTCAGGGTAGGTGGGCGTGGTGGGCAAGGCAGTCGTAATAATTCTATAAAATTGCCGTTAATTCAAAGACAGTCCGTTTGGCGGCGGTACGCTCCAATTGGATGCTCGATGCTCGTTTGTTGACTTGTTGACGTTCTCTTTGTGTAATTGATGTCAGACGTAAGACGGGCAAGGGGAAAATGTGGAATCAGAGCAATAGGGACGTCGACGATGTGGATGTGATGCATTGGCCTGGAGAAAATGGAGACTCGGCTTAAAAAGTCACCAGAGAGTCAGTCAGGGACCAAAAAAAAAAAAAAAAAGATAACAGATAAAGACGGAATGAAAACGTCAAGGTGAGCGAGTGCGGAACCAGCGATCGCCGCCGAGGCTAGCCGCCGAATTGGGGCGCGTGGTCACGTAAACCGCGCCGCAAGCGTCGTTTTCTCGCGCTTTCGGCCTTGTCTTGCAATTTCTACAATTGCAATTCGCTTGCGTCCAAGATTCACCATGTCCATTTCACCACATTCCAGAGACCATGACAATACCCACTTTTTGTGTCCCGCCGTGTAAGTCGGCGTTAGTCGCGGACCGCAATCGGGGACTTTTGGTGAGGATGGTCAACCCGCAGATGCTCGACGCTGCGTGACGTAAAAGGACTGCATTGATTCGGGAGAGCAAAGGTATGTAGAGCGACATAGCGACCTGCAGCATTTGTTCAAGACTTGGGTGGTACGCAAAGGGCGTGTTATTGTAGAAACTTGCGAACTGGATGTCTGGCGATTGTAAGAATGGACGAGATCGTGTGCTGGCTTCCATAGGGGCACTAGGGGCACCAAGTCATCGTAACAGTTGTCGTACAGAATACATCAGTTCTCGATACACGTATTCGAACACTGGTATAAATTCCAACTACGGGTGCAACCTGTCACGTACGGCCATAGATAAAGGAAAATACGGGATCCCGTCCGCTCTCCCCTAGTCAAACCTTCAATCGGCGGATTAGTAGTTGGGTCGGTGACGACCAGCGAATACCCGCTGCTGTACGTTTTTTTTATTTTTTTTTTATAAATTCCTTTTTTCTCGCGATTCGCCAAGGTATTAATTTTTAAAAAAAGTTATACCACAATAGCGAAGCAAAATGGAGTATCCGCGGCATGAGGCACCAGCTCCAGGACGTCTTGGGCGCATCGCAGAAGCTGGTGGAAGTCTGGATATTTATTCTACTTTCAACCGTGTTGTTGCTGTTGTTTTGGGACAATGCTGACCGACCTCGTCAATTGTTCAAATCTGTTTCTCGAGCGCGTTGTCTGGAGTGCATCGGTTGCTTCATCGGTTGCTTTTACTCTTTGCCTTTAAGAGCCAATAGACTAAACGCATAGTCAACAGATTGTATCCCAAAAAGGGCATGTTGTCTATTCTATGTACTGTGAAGCCAAGTATTATGTGACAATTACATTAGTGTATTACGGGGATGAAGTCTATCTGCCGGCGGCTTCGACTGCATCGTGCGACGACGGTGGTGGTGGAGGCGGCCGTAGAGGCGCTTCCAACTGGGTGGCGTACCATGCCTTGAACTCTTCTTCGGACAGGCACGTCTCGCCGAGCATCAGAAAGCGGTTCATGACCATGTGGACGTGCAGCTCGTTGGCGTAGCCCTTGGCCGCGGTCTTGACACCAGGGACGGGCTTGCGCGCGCGGCACAGTGCCGTGCAGAACCGGGCAATGTTGCCGGCCAGCACTTCGTCCTCGCCATAGGTGACAAACAGGTCGTCCACGGGCAAGTCCGCCAGCCACTGGTCGGGCATCGTCAGGGGGCAGCTCCAGGGCGAGCCCTTGTCTGCTGCGGCGGCATCCGCCTTGTCCCTGTTTTCGCTCTTTTCGCTCTCGTCGACCGGGCCGCCCAGAAAGTTCTGCGCCCAGGCGTCGAGCGCGGCGGCATACAACACGTCTTTGGCCTCATTGGCTCGGACGAGGCCCTCGCTGCGGGCGCGCGTGATCATCCAGGGCGAGAGCAGGGCGGCACCGGCGAGGCGCGCCCCGCCCGGCAGCGTGACGGCGGGCACCTGCGGGTCGGGGTGGGCCAGGTGCAGGAGCAAACTGAGCGCCAGGTGGCCGCCGGCGGAGTCGCCGACAAGCGTGATGGCCGAGGGCGGGTAGTTCTCCGCGGTCAACAGGTAGTCGAGGAGGACGGCCGCCTGCTGGAGCTGGCGCGGGTACTGGTTGGCGGTCTCGGAGGCGAGGCCGTACTGCAGGATGTAGACGGCGACGTTGTCGGGGAGGGTCTTGCTGAAGCCGCACGCCAGGTGGATGTGCTTGCTGAGGGCGGGCGCCATGTAGCCGCCGCCGTGGAACACGACGACGGCTCGACGGGGTGCTGAGGACGACGCTTGGGCCGGCGTAGAGGCTGTGCTTGCCGTGTTTGCCGGGTTTGCCGTGTTTGCCCCGGTTGCCTTTTTTGCCCGCTGCGGCTCCTTTGCCCCCTTTGCTGTCTCGGCCGTTCTCTCCGTTCTCTCCGCCTCCGCCTTCGGCCCAAGCACAGCGGCTGTCGTGCCGTTGCTGAGGTGGATCAGCGCAAAGGGCAGCTTGTTGCGCCTGGCAAACCGGCGCGCGAGCCACTTCGTCGAGGGCAGCAGGTTCTGGATGCGGACGGCGCTGAGGCCGTATTGGTAGTCGCGCATGCCCTCGAGGGCCGTGTACTTGTACACGGTCTGGCCATGGCGGCGGGCCTTGCCGCCAACGGCGGCCTTGACGACCTTCAAGGCAAGGAAAAACGCTGTTTTGTGTTAGGTTAGGGACGGACGGACGGACGGACAAGCGATGGGACCAAAGGCAGGATCCTCACTGAGAGCGACGGCGCGCGCGACCAGGCAGATCCAGCCCCAGAGGCCCAGCGCATCGGCATACTCGCGCTCAATGGGATGGGCCACCATCCCTGGGCGCGGGTTGGTCGACGGCCGGGGGAAACGGCAATGCGTGCCAATGGGACAACGCGGGTGCGTCCCTGCCTCAACTCGAAGCCGAGACAAAACGGCAATGCATGCACAGTCGTCTATGGACGGTCGGCAACAGCCCAGCGCATTGCTTTCGGTTTTCTGCTTTTGGTTTTCGCTGTTGAATTTTGTTTGGTCAATGGTGCAGCTCTCGACAGCCGGCAGCGCGGGACGGGTTCGATGTCTCGCGGCCGAAAACAAGGAGGGCCGAGAGAGAGGGAAGAGACCCAGAGACGCTGCCGAACGATGTGCAGAATGCGAGCGACGGCAGTTCGGCGGTCGAAGGGTGTCGACAGGGTGTGTGTTTTGCCTTTGTCGATCAGCACAAACATGCAGCGAGTGGGGCGGCACAACCCCTGAGTGGCTCTGTCGTTCCTTTGAGATTGTTGTCGGCGAATTTCGCCAGTCAGCAGCAACTGCCCAGAGTACGACGTATTCGGACGTAATACGACGTGATGGACCGTGGTCATGTGACCCAGGATCCTTAGTCTTAGCCCTGGCCTGGCCTGTTTAGTTCCTCCGAGCTTTTTTAGACTCGTTCAACTCGCTTTTTCTCCCTTGTCACGACGTCTGTTCCAGGCAAGCCCGGGTATGCGTCGGTTTTAGGGTTTTAGCAGGGCCGTCAGCGTTGCGTATGGCCGAAAAGCCTCATTACAACGGGCTGACATCGCTGTAACTTTGCTTACGTCGTCCATGGCCAGGCTGACGTTGCCCATAAGTCTGCTTACGTTTTCGCCTACTATATTCTCCTCCATATCAACGTCGCCATTTTGCCAGGCTCCAGTCTCTGCGTCGTTGTCCTCCCGTACGACGTACGATGCTACTCCAAGTCGGGTGTATTCGAGGGCATCTCACAGGCCCCAGTGGTTTGGAACCGTCGTTGCAAGTGGAGAGCTTGCCGCACGGCCGTGATGCTCATCTGCTCATTTGCTCTGCTCATCTGCCTTTTGCTGTTGACCGTTCTACCATGCCAACTTCGCCAAAACAAAAACAGTTGTCCTGAATTCACCCTGACCCGCTTCCAAGCGTGGCCATTCCATCACCTTGGCATCGTTGGCCTGGCCATAGTCGGGACACTAACTGCCCTATAGACACCTTCCCAGGAGCCCCGTCACTTTCAAAGGATCAAGCTAATCTAAGGAGCTCCGCCGACCAAAAATATAAAGGCTACATTAGCCAGTAGCGAGGCTCGACCAAAGGCTGTAGCGTCCCGTCCGTCCAATTCAGGATCTGCTTTGATTTTAGTTCATGCTGTCTTGGGTGATCAGCATGCTGCGAAGAGTCCAGGCCACCGAGCAGAAAAGGAGAAACGAGAAAAGAAGAAAAAAAGAAAAGGAAGAGAAGAGGCAAAAAGAAAGGAAAGAACGCTAATTACGACGCAATTGATAAGCCCTACTCTGGTTTCCGTCTTCTTTGGGAATGGATGGTTGGTCTTGCTGACGGTCGTGCTTGTCCTCTGCATGGTACGAAATACTGCGTATTCGGAGGATTGCGGTTGGGGCCAAGGAAGAAGCCCGCGGTGTGGAAACATGGAAAGCGGGCCAGTCTCAGAGCGTCTCCTCCCAGGCTGACGATGCTTGGTCCTTGTCCTGTCATTTCCTGTCCCCGTCGAGCCGTCGAGCGCCTATCGCTCTGACTCTGTACGTGCTTCGTAGTGCTGTGCGTGGCAGTCCCACGTTTGCACCCCCGTTCAAGTCTCCCCTTGGGTCGGGGGCCTGTGTCTGCACACTATGTGCACGAGGATTCTGTATTTGTAGCTCGGATTCCCTTGGCGTCTTGGTCGGTTTCGTTTCCACCGTTTATAGTATTTCAAACGTATCCCAGTATATGTCCTCTTCTTGCCCTTTCTTTTGTTTTCCGTTGTTTCTTTCCTGCTTGATGCCCAAGGATTCCTCACGATACCCAGTTTGTTATGTCTGACACCTTTGCTCGGCTCTTCAGCGACCCGTATCACATCTGTGTCTGTCTCGCAGTACTCCTCGCCTCGCTCGGCATCATGGTCGCAAGAAAAACACCTGCCGCCGGGGCTTCCGCCGGGGCAGCTGCCGCGGCTGCCGCCGTGGACGTTATCCCCACCGCCTGGACAGACCAGATACCACCCCTCCAAGGCATCCGCACGCGTACCTTCTTCGTCGTCAAGGCGCGTCTGGATGCCGATGCCATGAAACGGGGCCTGGACACGCTCATCCGCGAGCACTGGCGCAAGCTCGGCGGGCGCCTCGTGCTCAACAAGTCGACCAGCCTGCAGGAGTACCACGTGCCCAAAACCTTCCCGCCGGCCGAGACATACGACCTCTTCCAGTGGTCGACCGAGACCAAGACCGGGCCCATCGACGCCGACGCGCCACAGCTGATGCAGACGCCCCCCCTCGAGTCCAGCGAGGGCGGCGGCGGCATCGCCTTTTTGCCGGCGGTTACGGACTACGACCCCAAGTTCCGCCCGGCCTCGTGGCCCTATGACGTCGACCACGGCACCAACGACACACCCATCCTGCTCGTGCACCTCACACAGTACGAGGATGCGACCGTCGTGGCCCTAAGCGTGCCACATGCGGTGGCGGACCAGCTGGGCACATCCCTGCTGGTGCGCGCCTGGATGGGTGTGATCGCCGGCCAGGCGCCGCCGCCGCTGATGGAGCAGGATCCCCTGCCGCAGGGCCGCGCGTTTTCGTCCCTGACCAAGGCGGAGCAGCGCCCGCAAAAGGGCAAGATGCACGTGTACTACACCGGCGAGTACCCAATCGTCCTCTTGGGCTTCTTCCCCGACCTGATTTTCAACGCGGAGGAGACCAAGCGCATCATGTTCCTGCCCATGGCCACCGTCAAGGCTCTCCGTGCGCGCATCACCAAGGCGCTGAACGCCAGCGGCGGCGACCCGGGCATCACGGACAACGACGTCATTACCGCCGTGATGACCAAGCTGTCGCGCATCCACAAGGGACCGGTGACGTTGAACCTGTCGCAGACAGTGAACAGTATGTGACGATTGATTTTCCTTGTTGTCTTGTTGTCCTGTTATCGTGTCGCCCGTTGTACTGACAACCATACCCCAGTCCGTGGCCGCCTCCCCCAATTGACCGGCCCCGCCATGGACGGCTGGCTGCACAACGGCCTGACCCACGCGTCGACGCGCTTCCGCCTCGACCGGAACACCCCGCTCGCCCAGATCGCCAAGGACAACCACAGCTGCGTCGCGGAGATGCGGGATCCCGTCCACGTCGACATCCACCTCGCCATTATCCGCGAGATGGCCCGCCGCAAGCAGAACATGCACATCTGCGAGCCTTTTGAGACGTCCTTTTCGGTGACTAGCTGGCCGGCCGCCTGGCGGGACCTGGACTTCTCTGCGGCCGTGGCCACCGCCGCCACCACCTCGGCCGAGGACAGCGGCGCCACGACGCCCCTGCCGCCCCCGGACGTTTTTGTCATTGGTCGCAGTGGTTTGCTCACCACGCCGCACCGCTTCCACGCGACCGTCATGTTCCGCAGCGACGCCGGCTACTGGATCGACATTGGCTTCAGCACCAAGAATTTTGTTGCGATGAAAGCCTATCTGGCCCAAGACCCCAAACTGGAGAAGCTCTAGGGGAGAAGAGAGTGTGTGTGAGTGTGTGTGAGGGAGAGAGGCCGAAAGAGAAGAGTGTGCCGTGAGGTGAGAAAGACGTACAGCGATTTTGACTGGCTATGATACATAAATATAGACCGGTACAGCGCGTGACTGGAGTTTGGGCGTTCTGCAGACCCGTTTTGGGCTATTCCAATACCATCGGCCACGGCCGACCTCTTAATCCCATTTCTTCTGTTTTTGTTTACCTATTAGTTGACCCCTTCCCGCACCCAATTTAACTTGTTCTTTTGCCATAAGAAGCCGCCAATGCCCGCTCAAACGCAGTTGCAATGTCAAACAGCCTGCCATCCAGGCCCCTGGCGCACACAAAACAGAGACCAAACGGCATGCCGCCGTCGACAGTGCCCGCCGGAACGCTTATGGCGCAGAGGTCCAGCACATTTCCAAAGTGTGTGAAAACGCCCAGCTGTGCATTCATCGCAATGGGGTCGTCCTGCATCGCCGCGACCGTGGGATGAAACGGCGCGGTCGGCACAACCAAGACGTCCACCGTCGTACTAGCACCAGGACCAGCACCATCATGACCATCGTCACCACGGCCCACTCCACCAAGAGGGCCGACGCCGCCTGACAGCAGTCGATTCGCCAGCCGCGTCGCCTCGGCCTGCACCAGCTGATCTTTGTACACGTCCCAGGGCCGGGCGTTGCGGTCGAGCACCTGCTGGAACAGCTTGCCGGTGACGGGGTGGAACCGGGCGATGTTCGTCCTGATAAAGTCCTCGCCGATGCAGGCAATGCGTTCGTTGACGAGCGTGCCGTTGTACAGCAAGTCCGTCGCGTCGACAAACGGTTTGTATGCGGCATCGTCGAGTGCATGCCTTCGGCCGCCCATGGCCCGGACAACTGTGAGGGCCTTGTCAAAGGCCGCTTCGTACTCGGGCGACAAGCGTGCTGCCGCCATGGCCGAGACAGGCGGCGTTGCATACGTGAAGCCTGCCGCGTTGACGCCGCGGTGGTCGGCCAGAACGAGAGGCAGCGACTGGGGATCTTTGGCAAACGCGTCGCCGGCGTCGTAGTGGTCGACGACGTGCCAGATGCGGCGGGTTTCGTGCACCGAAGGTGCCAGGATCGTGGCCGTGTCGAGGCTGCGGCAACACGCCACCACCCCACGGGAGGACAGCGTGCCCTTGGTCGGCTTGAAGCCCACGATGCCGTTGAATGCGGCCGGCACGCGCCCACTTCCAGCCGTGTCTGTGCCCAGCGCAAATGTCACGAGCCGCGCGCCCACAACAACGGCCGAGCCGGACGACGAACCGCCTGGACAGTACGCATCCTCTTTGTGGTTGGCGTGGCGAAAGACGCTCGATGGGATGCCACAAGGTGAGCGGCATCCACTCAAGCCCGTCGCCAGCTGGTCCATGTTGGTCTTGCCGATGAGCAGACCGCCCGCCTCGAGGCATGCCGTGACCGTCGGCGCGGTGACCGTGGCTGTGTAGGCAAAGGGTGGACATGCCGCTGTTGTCTCGAGACCGGCAACGTCAAAACTGTCCTTGACGGCAAAGGGAATCCCGTACAACGGCGGTAGGCAGTCGCGCTCCACACCAGTGTATTTGTCGACAAGGGCTTGAGCATCAGCCAGCACCTCCGGGCGGGACCGCAACAGCATCCAAGCGTGCGGGTTCTCCTTTTCGTACGCTTCAATGCGGTCAAACACTGCATGGACCACGTCGGTGGGGGAAAGGCCAGCACCTCTGTACTGTGTTTGCAAAGTGTCTAGGTCGAGTAAAGTGCCATCCCAGGAGGCGGCTGGAGGAGGCGGTTCTTGGGCTGCAGATGCTTTTTCGCCATACGCCACAAGCTCGGCGCTCGGCGCGGCAAAACCAAACTGTCCCCCATATGATACAGACGTGTTGGTCGACGCCGCCTCAAACGACGCATCGAAACCACCCGCGACGTCTGTCAAGATGCAGCACTGAAACCCGCGGTCCCTCGCCTCGCGCTCCGTCATGGTCACACTGCACTCGGTCGCCACGCCTGCTATTAGCAGATGCGTGACACCTCGAGCCATCAGCCGTCGGTGCAAGCCCGTCGCCCAGAACACACTTGTGCCTGGCCTGTCCACCACCACCTCACCAGACTGTGGCCGCAGCTCGTCGACCAGAGAGTGACCCGCACGCGCATGGACAATATGCAGACCCAGAGCACGGGCTGCTGCGAGAACTGACAGGGTAACAGGCACAGCATTTGGAATGTCGGCATCGACAAAGCCGCGCTGCTCGTCGACCAACACAAGGGCTGTGCGCTCGGGTACGAAAGAGAAGCTATACGGCTGAGCTGTTGTGAATGTGAGCTCCTGCATGGCAACTGATAGTCGACGGTGTGGGCGGAGCAGACTGTGCTTTGTTTTGGTTGCACTGCTCAAATTTGGTTAGAGAGTGAAGAGGTATCAGTATGCGCGACAGATGGGTAGAGGGCAGACGGACCTAGCACGCAGCCACAGTGGTGTAACGCACCCCAATTCCTGATGCTATTAAAGATATGCACAATGGTCGGTACGGAACTCTACAGTCGCTCAATGGAAGAAGACGATGAATTCGGCGAGCATCCGGCGACTGTCAAGTTGAGCACTCCGCATCGAAGAGGGACAACAATGTGGGGCACCAGGCAGCTTCCGGTGGACCGAGATGCTGTCAGATGCCTATCGTTCCGGTTCAAGGAGCGAGTGTCGAGCGGGGGTGCCTGCCAGTGCAGCTAACGGGCGTGGTGTTAGAGGATGTCGACTTGTCGCACAAAAGCGAAGTTGTGGATATGAAATTGAGTACACTCAAAATAAACATGTCTAACAAGAGTTGATACCGAACACAGGTCGACAAGCAATTGATAGTGTCGGTACGATCCGGCCGGCCTTTCTCTTGGTTGTACCGTCATGTTCCACCTGTACAACATGAGTCACATATTCCTGGTACAATGACACAAAACCAGTTGGTCCTGTAATGCCATGTGCGTTTGCCATTCCTTGACATCCGTAACGCCAATGTGTGAAACCTGTATTGGTGCCTGTCAACCAGCGGTGTGCCGTGTCTGTCGTATACCCACCTTTCCGTCGATTGTCGAAATCGCCATACCTTCGCCCTCTCGCCTCCTACCCTTTCTGGGTATCGTAGGACCTTGTCGTTCAGTTCTTCTTGTTCTTCGAGGCCAGACTGGACGCTTTTTCGCGGTTGTTCTCCAAATGCGGAATCAAATCACGCTCCAAATAGCCCACTGGAACGCCCAGGTGGTAGGCGTCCCACATTCCTGCCTTCATCCGGTTGACGTACTCGAGTTTTGGTGCGCCAGCCGTGATGTACCTGTCACTGAAATACACGAGCACGCCCTTGGCCGTGGCGGGTTTGCTTGGGTCTCCGTACTTTGTCCCTGCGAACGGCGGGACACTGTGCCCGGTGGCCTCATATGCGGCAACGTATTCTGGATACGTGGACGGGCAGACCACCACATCGGCGTACATCTTCTGGTAGGCAGATGTGCGAACGCCTTCGTACACGTCGAGCTTCGCTTCATCTTCGCCTGTTTCGTCGAGCTCGTAGATGAGGCCATGGACACACGCGCCGGTGGGTGCACTTGGTCTGTGGTTTGCGGTCATACCGCCACCCGTTGCAAGCTTGGTGCTGCCGGCCTTGGCCGTGTCCTCGACTTTGACAACGTTGGCATAGCCGCGCTCGTTGATTTGCCAGCGATAGCCGTACAGAATGCCGCGTCCAACGAACTTGCTCCGAGGGCAGCGATGGCTCATCTGCGCCAGCGCCATGTTGCTTCCATAGGCAAAGTAGAGCATCTTGGCAGTGGGCGTGATGAATGCAGTGGTTGTTGGACACGCTGATCAGGTCAAAGGGAAAACGTCCTGTGCAATGGCGTATAACGTCGTGTTACGTGGTTTGTGTATTTGTCGTGAAAGGCGACAAGAACGCGACAACGAGATGACGCTGCCGGCAATGACAACAGTCTGCTGTACGTTGTATGTTGTAGAATGAGGGGTGTCGAATGTCCAAATGACGCAGGAAGGTCGGGGCTGACAGGGTCGTCGGCAAGGCAGAAACGTCGTTGTAGAAGCCGACAGACGTCTGATGACTGGCCAACAGTTGCGAAACAAAACAGCATTCTCATAGTCAAATCAACGTCCAATGAGGGGCAGATTGTTGCACAGCCTCGCACGTGAACGGCAACATTTTGGCATGTGCCCGACGACGTGCATCGGGAAGGAGCGGTCGACCGACTTCAGAGGTACCGTGCTAATAGCACCACTGGCGCTGGATCGCTGTGTACGACGGTACATTCACTGTTGTGGTCTGAATATCGTATTTGACTTGGGTAAACGCTCATGCACATGTTTGAAAGGTATTGTGCATTTGATGGTGATTGGCAAACATGAAGGAGAAAGGAGTCACCGGCAGGATTTCGTCAATTTCACACCCTCGTTTTAAGATTAATTGCCTGGTGCTTTTTGGGGGGGGGGTTGTACGTCAAAATTCAATGAAGGAATAAGTTGACCTGACATTAATATCACGTTAAGTTTTGTCTTACGCGATTTATCTATTTATATTTATAATTTTACCTTGACACCTTCAAATATTTTTGAATACTACTAGCATTTCCTATTATATTTCGAGCCTTTCGTGTATCGCTTCACAGCGTTCTAAATCTCACACCTTTATTTTAAAAAATTTACTTTCTAGATGATCTCGTTCCGTTACTAACATCTTGGCGTCGTCTCGTCTTTCCCGGTTATTCTCCGCGGCCTTTCGGAAGCGATTGTTAGACTCCGGGATGACGTCATGGCGCTTTTTGGCATGCTATTCTTGTCTTGTCGCCAAGAAGCAACGCCCATGGTTTCCATTGTTTCCATTGTTTCCATTGTTCTCCAATGTTTCCCGTAATCGCCGCTCTGTCTCAACCTGCTTTTGCCATTGACTAACCTTTGCATCACTTGCTTCTTTTCTCAGAGCTCCTTGTGCTTTCTTAGCTGAGTTCTGGTTGCTGCCTTGCGCTTAGTGCCGCGGCGCCTTCTTACCGTGACTCCTTCCGGGGTCCGTCTTACTTTTCTTCTTGGGCTGGACGTCATCGAGCGTCGCCACAGAAGACGCTGTAGACGTCTGTATTTGTCACTGTCTCGATGTGGCTGGATTGCTGGCCCACATAATATCCGTCTCATATCCGTTGAGATGCTGGGCAATTTTGTCTATTTTTGCATCCGATGTCCCCGTTCTCCCCTTGACGAACCGGGGTCCCGTAATTTTGTTTAAAGTTATTTATTTGCCGCGCCGATGAGACCCATTCTCGGAACCTGACCGTTGCTCGGCGCTCCGAAAGTCGTACCGGCACCGCTTTCGTGTACTACAGGGAAAAAATTATCCAGGTCTTCCCAAAGTGGTTGGATCCGTGGCCCCTGGTTTGCCCTTTGGGTTAGTCGTATGGAAGGGCGCGTTCTGCCTGCCCAAATCCCACAGAGTTGCAATTCGTCCATAGCACGCGATGAGGACGGGTGCATTGCCAAGCATTTCGTGCCATGCCCTTAAATGAGTGACATACATCGTCAGAAATAGAGAAAGCGGCAGACAGAAACGAACAAGAAGAAAAGGCAGAGAGCAGCCTAAAATGGCAAGGCACAGTGGTCGCTTTCAAGGGAACATTGGGGGGGATACTGGCCGAGGTCTAGACCGTTCTGTGGAGCGAGTGTGGCTTGCTTCTAGACCAGCCAGTGGCCGTCTCACGATGCTTCCCATTCAAATTAAGTGAGAAAAGAACCACACTAGCGAATGGATTCGAAGCAAAATACGGAGTACTCGGCGACTCGTCTAAACTTTAAAAATAAGAGAACACCAGACCATGCGATTGGGGATTGGTGGGATTGGATCGAGCTAAGGCTTGACAAACAAGCCTCATAGACTATGACAGACAGTAGTTCGCTGTGCATTAGTTCGTACTTTCCACGATATTGAACAGAGCCATATTCTCTCCGCGTCCCCCGTCCCACCCCTTTTCCTCTTCGACCCGGATCGAGACCGACATAGCCTTTTGTGCTAATGGGAAAATGGAGGCGAAAAGAGGGGGAGTGGGTACGTCTGGAGCGCGTGAGAGACAAATGCAGGCATATAAATGACGGTGGCGTCAGGGAGCACGTGTGTCGCCGGCCGTTTTCAGTGCAACCTTGTCACACGACGCATTAACGAGCTGGTCGTCTCGCTGGGCCCAGACCGCGATGGATGCCTTTTGAAAGTGAAAGGCCAAGCACCAAAGAATGCCAAGTGCTCGCTTACCGCGTGTGCTTCATTGCGCTGAAATTTGAAGGAGGGACCCTAAAGAGCGACACTCATGGCCCCCGTTAAGGATAAAAAAAGGTAGAAAGGACCAACATGGGGGGTGTGAGCAAGCCGGATTGTCAGCGTGAAAACAAGGGGTCCTCGGGTTTTAGCAGGTCACAATCAACGGAAAATACAAGGCAAGCTCCGCGGAAGCCTCCAATTCAACGGTTTTGCAACGAATTATGGACCATTCCGCGCGCAGTGATTACTTACCACGTCGTAAAGGGCGTTTTTCAGTGAGTGTGCTTTCCACACACGAGATGGCGGAATGGCGAGTGGAGAGCGAGCAGGGAATCCGTTTTCCCCTTTGGGTTAAAGTTTTAAGAGTCGCAGGAAAACGGATATTCCCCAATTGTGGCCATGGCTGTCTTGCCTACGGCGGTTAGATACGTCTCGGTGGGACCTAGGCAGCAGAATAACAGAAACCAAAAAGTCCCGTGTCCAACGGATCATGACATACTATTTTAGTTTGGATATTTTTGATACAGAAAATCATGTTCCGTACTTTTGAAGCAGAAAATGGGGGTATCATTGATCGCGCTTATTTCTATCTTTGGATGTGTGTTTCTATATTGGGAATGTTTTGTGTGGTTTTGGAATCCGCCTGCCTACTTTTCGCGCATTTCCTTGGACCGCAGGTCGACAAGGCCGTCTCGGTCGACCGGCAGGAGCGGAGAATCTGGTGGCGGTCGGCTGCTGCGGCTCTGGTACAGGTACAGAGAGAACAGCACCGTCGAAACGCCGAGCGTAGACTGCAGCGTCATGGGCTCGCCAAATAGCACCGCGTTGGCCATGTAGCTGACCACAATGCTGAAGCTGGCCGCCAGGTTCTTGGCCACGTTGTCGGCGTAGGTGATGCAAATGGCCACCAGAATGCCGCCGAGCGCCTGCAGGGCAATGGTCGCCCACACCGTCGGGCCGTAGCCGACGAAGAATCCGTGCTGCGCGATGGCGGCGCCGTCCTTGCACCAGACGCCCAGCAGCAGGATTGGGAAGAGGCTGAAGAAGGAGAGCTGGGCGTTCCGCGTCCACAGGGACACGGACACGCGCGACTCCTTGATGAGCTTTTCAAAGTAAACGCCCGTGAAGCCCGAGATGAAGGACGCCACAATGGCGGCGAAGAAGCCCTTGGTGGTGTTCATTGGGTGGGCTAGCTTCGGTGATGCTGTCGTGACTCGTGTGTGGTTTGCGCTGTTTGTCCGGCCCCCGGCAAACCAGCCCATTAGGCTGGCGAGAGAAAAAGAGGATGCCGGCGCAGATGCAGATGCAGACGCAGACGCCATTGTCTTTGCGCCCGGGCCGCCTGATGTTTCGGCCACTTGCACAATCGCCACGCCCAGCGTGAGAAGCACCAGGGCGAGCCACTGTTTTGGGGTGATGACGCGCTGCAGCATCACAATGCTGAAGAGCACCGTCGTCAAGATCTTGAGCTGGTAGGTCACTTGGAAAGGCACTGTCTCCATGTTGCTGACGGCCACGTAGACGAGATGCGTCTGCAGCGCGTAGAGCCCAGCCGGCAGAATCAGCATCCATGACCCAGACGCGAAGAGCGACTGATAGAGAATGGACGCGATGTTGGCGGGCGCATAGGGGTTGGCGGGCAACGCTGGTCGTTGTTTTGAATCATCACCGTTGGCTGCTGATGCTGCAGCTGCGGCCGCGGCTGCTTTTTGTGCCTTTATCTGTGCGTGGCAGTCAATTGCCAGACTGAAGACCAGCTTGATCAACTCGACAAACATCATGGCCGTCGAGATAAAGTAGCGGCGCTGGCCAGACACCGGTTTGGCGCGTGAGTGGTGCATAACCTGCCACATGGTTAAAGACATGCCAAGCCAATATCAGCGTCATATTGGACAACCTACCATTATCAGAGCTGAGTTTTGAAGAACAAGCTGAGAATGTCAATACGCCTGTCCATATTTCAGCCAGAGCACCAGAGGCCAGAGACTGCTGTGTTACGTACGAAGATCTGCGACATCGTCTGTATCGACGTGGCGCCGCGCAAGAATCGTGCTGGCCGGTAACCAGGCGATGCCGCCCGTGGCCATGCTGCCGGCGAAGTGCTGGTTAAGCTCGGTGATGGCGCCATGGCGGAGAGTAGCCGGCGGGCAAAGATGCCCGAGAATCTGGCGTGGGGAGTTGTCAAGAGTTGTCGATGCCTTCCTGCTGTGTGATGTCGCAAGACGTCTTTTCTCCTCGTTCCTATGATTTTCGGATCAAGTCTGGGAGGGAGGTGTGGCTCAATTTGTTCGGTTTCGGAAAATAAAATACAATTTAAAAAATGAAGGGAAACGAAATGAAAGAGAGCGGCCGGGAAAAGCACAAAGCACAATCAGAAAGGACGCAGAAAGCACGCTGTCAGTAGTACCGCCGTAAAGGCAATAAACGAAGAGAGCCAAGACAGATCCAAAATAAGGATTCCAACTTGATACGGTTGTGAGAAACGGGGGAGCTTGTGAAAACCGGGGACTTCCTAAAAAGGATGGCGAGCGCGAGCAGCAAATGACACGGTAGAAATAATCCAGAACGTGAGTACCGAGTGCTCTGCTCGGCGTAAACACTCCGCAGAAAATGAGAAGACAACCCAGAAAAGAACAGGTGAAATAGCGGAAAAGTGAATGAAGGAGGAAAATGTAAATACTCCCTGAAGAGGAATAGAATGCACTGAACAAGTCGAGGAAACGTGAGCTATGGAGACTGGAAAAAATGATTGGGCAGAGCAGGGATGAGGAGGGTGTGGAGCATGACAAGCCTGCGCTAGTTTTATGGTTTGTGTTTTTTTTTGTGGTGCTGCGGTTCTTCGTTTCAGTAGCGGCAGCACCCCTGTCAGTCTCGTAGGGCAGAAAAGCTTCGCCTCGGTGAAAGAGGCACTTTTTGATTGAGGAGAAGGACACGAGAGATAACTGAAATTTTAGGAGAGAGAATGAAAACGGAATTGAGGCAGAGCAGAGGAGGGCGTGTGAACACCCAAGGCGAGTGGAGTGTTTTGCACTTTATACGTGGTATTATTAGGGGGGGGGAGACGCGGGACACAAAGAACAAAAGACAGGTAAATAGAAAAAGGAAATATGAACAAGAAGGGTGAGAGGGCATGCGAGCCGAAAGGAAAAAAGCTTGTCTTGTACAGGGATGTTTTGGCCCGGGGGGAAAGGGGGTACGACGGGAACGATAATACGACGGGGCCGAAAGGAATTGCGTGAAATAAGAGGGCGAGAGGGTGAGAGTGAGAAGAAGAAAAAAGGTGTGGATGGGAACAGAGACAGAAAGACTTCTCCGGGTGGACGACCACAAGCGCGGCGAGGCCAATTTCAGGCTAATTCAGACACAGGAAATAGAAAAAGCAGGAACAAAAGGAGGACTCAGAGGAACAAATAAGAAGGAATGCCAGGATGCAAGGATGCCCGTCAAAGCCTATCGTCAAGATGGCCAGACCAGGCTTTGTAGGACCTTTACTCCGTACGGGACGCCATAAATGAGAAGACAGGCCCTGCAAATCAGGTTTGGAGATAAGAGCCGAGAGTGAAATGGATGGAGGAGAGCACGCAACGGCTGAGAAGGCGGTAGAATGAAGAAGACCTGGGAATGTGGCGCTGTGAGAAGTGGCGCTGCCCTGATGGTCTGGTGCTGAGATGCGGTGATGCGCTGTTGACCGTTAGGTGTTGGTGCCTTGCCAAGGTGTGACGGCAAAGTAAGCATAAGACAGGATTTCGCAGGATCGGGGAGGCCACAGGGTATCTCGTTTAGGCTGTCGTTTGGGCGAACCGCGTTTGGGCGAACCGTTTGGGCGAACCGTTTGGACGATCGTGTGGGCAGAAGAGCAAAAACTATGGTTGATAATCAAAAGCGCGGAGGCCAGAAAGGATCCGATGAGACGGAAGGACCAACAAGGGCTAGCAGTCGGCACGTCGACAAGTACAGTGGAAGTGATTGAGCAAGTCAAAAAGGCACATCGAGAATGCGACTGATCCACGTCTTGGCACAGTTCTCAGCTCAACGTGACGGAGAGCCAACCACCTCACACAGAGCGTCGAGAGCAAAGAGGAGAGGTCGGGTCGACGTTTGCCCCATTGCCCCGTCGGGGGCTCTTCAGTCTTTTTCTTGCTTTTCGTAGCTTTGCGTTTTGCATCTCCGCGCTGCGTTGTTGGGCTGTCTTTACATGCATGCTTGTGTTGGTCCCGCAGCGACCGACGACCACCCAAGGGGGCGAGGCCGAAACAGAGTCGACTTGTGCGGTAGGAGACCATGTGGCCAGATGGTAGGGGCGGATTGCAGCGATTGGCCACGATGGACGTGAGGAAGAAGAGTAATACATTACGACATAGGAACCACTTGTACGAATAGCATCTAGGACCATCGCTAGCACGCACTGGCGTACTCCGTCCCTGGCGTGTTGTCGTGCGTCGCACTTGCCTACTTTGCCTGCTTGAAACTGCCAGCGGGAATCGAGCTGCAGACCGACAGAACTGGAGGGCAGGCGCGACCCAAAATCTGCCCAATCTGCCGGGACTATTGTGTTTAAAGTGGTCGGAACGCCCGGAGTCGCAGCAGCTAGCCGTTTCTGGACAATTGGGGCGCGCCAGTTTTTTCAACGACGGTTTTGTTCAGTGCGGTTTAAGGGAACGGAGCATTCCGTTATGGAATACGGGGTATTACCACCCTCACTGTGCTTTTGCTTGTTCCTTGCGCCTTCCCATTCCTGTTAGGCACGCGGACGGATTGAAGAGCACAAACGGCAACTCCACAGGCTGCCACTGTTCTGTCAGATCTTTGTTGCATGCCAGTTACTGGAAGCAAAACCATGGTGCCTTTCCGACGCGTCAAAGTTTGTTGCTTCAGTCGCCCCCAGTCGCCCCCAGTCGCCCCCAGTCGCACCAGTCGCTTCAGTCGCGACGGTCGTTTTGGCAGATCTCGCAACGATCGTATCTTATCCTCGCAGCGCCTCACTGTCACTCGCTCTTTCCCTGTCATGCGTTGTCTTCATCCGCTCCTTCCAAAATTCTGGCTATTTTTGTTTTCTCCCTTCCCCCGTCGCTTCCCCCATCGCTTCCCACTTCCTTGCACTCCCCCCTTTTTTATTCTGCTGCCTGGGCCGTCCAGTCTTGGTATCCTCTTGGCAGTCATTTGGCGGCTTCTCATTTTGACTCCGAATCTCCTTGATCTTCATCACTGTGTTTGCTCATTTGTGCATTCCACTTCTCAGACCGCCAGGCCTGCCAGATCAACAGCTCAGCAGCTCAGCCGCTCAGCGGTTCTCGAGTCCACCTGTCCACTATCCAATGTCCACTGTCCACTCTCCACTGGCCGCCTTTATTTCCTTGCTTTGGCTGCCGGTTGTTTTGCTTGTTCAATGACCTACTACTTTTCCTCGTGTTTCGCTTGACCCCATTCCCCATTTTTGTACCTCCTCTCACCGCGCTCCTCACACTCTTCACACTCCGCACACTCCTCACACATACAGCCATGTTGCTGCCGCCCCGCGTCACGCGCCTGTTGGGCGCTCTACGCCTGCACGCCCCTTCATTCCGCTCGCTTTCCTTGTCGCGCCGTGCCTGGCGCCTCGTCTCCCAGATCGCCTTGTTCTTGGTGCTGTTTCCACCGCTGCTGCAGTGGACCATTGCCTACCTGGTTGGCGGCGATGTGCGGCTCTTGCCAGAGGACCTTCAGGGCGCCAAGAATCTGCTGATTGTCACTGCGCATCCGGATGATGAGTGCCTCTTTTTCGCCCCGAGCATACTCGGCGTCCTCGACCGGAACCGAGGCGTGCACGGCAGCCTCATTTCCATATCAACCGGTACGTTGTTTTGTGGTTTTGACCTTGTCCATGCGCCCCCTTTGGGATGGTGTGGTGCCTTGCCCTTTGCTGCCCGAGTTTCGTCTTTGGCCCACCTTTTCTAACATAACCAACCACGGTCCAAAGGAAACAACTATGGCATTGGCGACCTGCGCAAAACAGAACTTGTTGGATCGTGTACGGCGCTACAAATTGACCCAGCACGCTGCCTCGCCTTGGACCATCCTGACCTCCAAGACAATCCTACCAAATGGTGGGACACCACCCTCTTGCAATCCGTTGTGCAGGAGTACATTGACAAGTGGAACATTGACGCAGTATGTTTTTTGCCTCCCCCTCTTTTTGGTGCTTTGTGCTTTGTGCTTCTGTGCTCTGTGCTTCTAGTTCTTTTTCCTTTCTCGGAGCTCTAACGTGTGTTCCGTCTTAGATCATCACGTTCGATGAAGGTGGTGTGTCTGGTCATATCAACCACCGTGCCGTGAGCGCTGCCGTCCGGTAAGGAACCCTTCATTTTTTTCGCACTTTCTTTTCTTTTCCCGCCTTTCACCGTTGCATTCTTCTCCTGCTTCCCTCCCTAGTCACCACATCCAACCATAGTCCCTTTTCCTTATCCCCTCTTCCCGCTTCCGTGGTCCTGCCCGCCAATTTACCGCCCCTTTTCCACTATTGGCCATGGCTTGTTTTACTGTAGATTGCGTGCTGAGCCTGCAAACCTAACAATGACACTAGTGAACTCGTCTCGTCTTCTCCTCCCTCTTCAAAAACGCCCGTGGCATACATGGTTGTCACGACGTCGCTCTGGCGCAAGTACACGTTTCTGGGCGACCTCCCCCTGACCGCGCTGCGTTTTACCTGGCGCATTCTAGCGGCCCTTTTCTACCCTGCGCGCGTGGGCGCAACAGAGACTACGTCTGCATTTGCCACGAGCCGCGCGCTGGTCGCCAACTCCTGGCATCGCTACCGAGAGACACGCGAGGCGTTTCGCAACCATAACAGCCAGTACACTTGGGATCGCCACTTGTACATGGTCGTCAGCCGGTACGTCTGGTTCAACGACTTGAAAAAGATTCTGCCTTCAGCAGCCGCAGCTCCGGAAACAGGATCAGCACCATGATCACGAAGAGGGGGGGAACAAAGCCGAAATACGAGCAATAATGAAGCAAAGTAGCATGTATTAGCATATAGGGCGTCAGGCGTATTGCTTTGTTAAGATAGACACGAAACAGGGAAACAGGAAAACGACCTGCACACATCACAGAACTAAATGGAATAATTATCCTTTCTACAAAGTACAATTACAGGCGTAGATCAGCCACTTCATCCCTGGGGCTGTTAATCCTGGGCTGTAATAAAGCAGAAAAAGGGCAGAAGTAATTGCGACGGTTAGTGCATTTGACTCGGCGACCGAAACGAACCAATAATCGCCGTGTACGTTGAGAATCCCCCCTCTAGTTGCGGTAGTTGGTAGCGTGCCAGTCAGAGCCCACGGCGATCGCTACTCCAAATTGCATTTGTGGTCGTGTGTGCGTTGTCCCTTTTTCGTGACCGCGGCGCCCAACGGTACAAAAAAAATACATCAAAACGCGCTGCGTACTGTCAGGGGAATTTGGTAGTATTGGCGACAAAACATACAACATACAACATACCCCCCCCCCAAAAAAAAGCAATCGAATCGAGACAAACAGAAAAAGGGAAAAGACAAAAGGACAAAAGAAAAGAAGAACCCCCGAAGACGACCAATGCGAATCGCGAAACGCGCGAATCGCCTGATCCATGTGTGTGTTTCGTCTCGCACCCAATTTCGTATTCTTTTTTTTTTCTTCTTTATTTTAATTCGTATTTTCCTTTTCTTTTTCACCCTGCTGTGGTTGGCTGCTTTGTCCGCCGTAATACGGTTCAACATTGGGTTGAAACTCCGCCAGGCGCAGCTCAGGCGCAGCTCAGGTGCTGCAGCGAGCCAGTCACCGACGGAAACAAAATCCCAGGCAGGCAGCAATTTTCTTTTTTCCTTTTATCTTTTTTTGCGCAGTCTCATCACAGTGTTTTGTCAGGCCCTTCCAGACCTCGACTCCAACCGACTCCACCAGCCTCCACTGCCGATCCCCTTTTGGTCAAGTCTCTCCACACTCTAATTTAAGCTTTTGCCAAGCCTTTTTGCTGTGCTTCGCTGGAAACGCTGTTTTTGTGCTCACTCTTGTCACTCTTCGGTGCTAGAAACGGGGCTAAGACGAGAAAGTGTGCTAATGAGAGCCAGTTGCCACCAGCCCTGGTCGAGCACGGGGGGGGGGCCTAACTGCCACCCATGTCTCGTCTCTCTCGTATGTGTGTACTCCGTACTCCGTACGACGTATGGGCATAGCGTAATATTTTTATTTTTTATTTGGTCTCGCTGGCCATCACCTCAACGCCAGCCGCAGTCTCGCGGCGCTTTGAGGCTCCCGTCCTCAGTATCGTTCGATAAATCCCATTTCTTTTCTTGTCATTGTTAGCACTCCACGCTTCTATAACTGTATATTTTTGGTGTCCCAAACGGTCCCATTTTTATTATGCTACTGTTTTCGCGCAAACCTTCTTTCAGCCTACGAAGAGTGGCCCCCATCCCATCGTCCATCGTCTTCCACGCCACGCTTACCTGTATTTCTTTCTCCTGGCCCTGTGCCGCTCGCAACATTTTTCTTCTTTCTTATACCTTTTAGTCTCCTTATTTATTGCCTCTGCCATTCATTCCCTCCTTTTTGCACACTTTGTCAGTCTACTTTTCCCCCTCTACCCACGTTTTCGTCCATCGACTTTTCTTCCTCGCTGGTTCGGCCGGGCCGGAATTTAATCAGACAGATAAGCACTCATCTGCGCACCTCTTTCGAACCGCTTGACTTCCCTTGGCCTGCTTCTTCTTTATTATTCCCTTACTTCCTTTTTTACTTGCCACTGTTCCTCTTTGTCATAGGCCACCATCCTCCCAACCGTTTTATTTCTTATTTTCGAACCGTTCCTTGGCAGCACGTTTTTTCTCCTTCCTTTACATCATCGACCCCTTTTTTATGTTCATTCATACGTTCGCCGTCCACCCTCAACCAACTTCCGCTCGTCGCTCATCGTCGCCACATCAGCACCAGTGCAACATCACTTCGACACGTCCTGACCGGCTTTCGTCTTCGTCTTCGTCCTGTCACGCCCCGAATCCGCATATCTTGTTAACGCTTGGGACGTTCTGGTCGTCCGGCGTGCCTGATTTTCGACCATCGTCGTTCGTCTGTCGCCAGATCTGCCGCCAAGCATCTGTCAAACTACCCTTCCACTGCCCGCTGCTGTCCGGCCAGGCCCGTGCAACCGTTTGCCGCACTTGAACGTGCTCGCCTCAAACGATCCAACCGTTGCACGCGCCAACCGTCGTCCTACATCACCTTCTTTTCACACCACACAATGTTGTCCACCGGCCCCCTTCCGCGGCGGCTGCGGTCACGGTTTGGCCTTCTTGTGACCGGTTTCCTTGTCGTCGTCGTGTTTCTGTCGCGACACATCCTCTACACAGCCTGGACACTCGCGTATATGCCCATGGTATGGTCAAGAGACGCACCCACATTTGTCATTTCGCAGGCGCTTGACAATTTCGACATCACCTTTGCCGACTACAATGCCTCCCAGACCGAGGCCGGCTTCGACTACCCCGACCGCGTGCCCCCGGTCATGCACCACGTCGTGCTGGGCTCCCGTCCCGCGCTGCCCGCCTGGACCGAGACCCGCCAGAGCTGCCTCGACTTCCACCAGGGCTGGGAGACACACTACTGGACCGACGAGACCGCCGCCGCGTTTGTCGCCGACAAGTTTCCCGAGGTCAAGGCCACCTGGGACAGCTATCCCTTCCTCATCCAGAAAGTCGACGCCCTGCGCTACATGGTCCTGTACGAGTACGGCGGCGCCGTCCTCGACATGGACCTGCGCTGCAAGCGCGCCCTCGGCCCGCTGCGCCGCTTCGGCTTCGTGGCCATCGAGGCCATGCCCGTCGGCTTCTCGAGCGGCTTCATGATGGCCGAGCGCCGCAACCCCCTCGTCGGCGCCATTGTCGACAGCCTCAAGACGTACAACCACCGCTGGCTGGGCCTGCCCTACCCCACCGTCATGTTCAGCACCGGCTGCCACTTTGCCTCCACCATCCACGCCCTCCAGGCCAACCGCAGCGACTACAAGGTCCTGCGCGGGCCCGACGACAACCGCGACATGCACAAGCTCAACGGCAAGGTCTCCACCCCCATCTTCGACCACCTCGGCAGCTCCGCCTGGCACTCGTTTGACGGCGCCGCCATCATCATGCTGCGCAACGCCCTCCCCTACCTCCTGCCCGTCCTGCTCGTCGTCGGCGTCGCCTCCATCGTCTTCGCCAAGCGCCGCCGCCTCCGGCTGCTGCAGCGCCCCGTTCCCCACATGCGCGAGCTGTTGCGCCACCAGCACGACGAGCAGCAGCACGACAAGTACGTCAGCGGCAGCGAGTCCAGCAGCACCGACGGCGACGACTCGGACGACGAGAAGGCCTTCCGCGACGTCTCGCCGCGCACGGCCAGCAGAGACTACCCGTCGGATGGCAGCAGGCATGTTTGACCCCGTCATTCGGCCATTCGTGAATATGCTGCATTCGTTTTTACCCTCTTTTTAATATTGATGCCATCTCCTTGCTTCACAACCGGCACTCTTGTATATATTGAATGGGTTCCTTTCGGATTTATTTACTCTCTCTCTCTTTTTCTCATTCTCTTTTGCGTTGTCTTCTTGCCTACTATGTTATGCCCAGCAGTTGATTTAGGCACGTCATTTTTTCATTTTGTCAAATATGGTCTACTCCTAATTTTCTTTAACTGTTTTTATTGTATCCATCTTCTTAGATTCCGTTCCCGGGAAAATGAAGCGTCTCTAATGATAGCACACAAATCTATCTATGATCCTTGACTTTGACACCACCTATGCAACCTGATGAGTGAACAAAACACCTTGTAGAATCTTGCAGCCTTCTTTGTGACTCCTTGGGAGCGTTGATCTTCCTCGTCAAGCGTACCCTCGATCATGTCGTTCACTAAGCCCAGCATCCGTGATGATCGTGAACAGCACATTCCTGCGAAGACTCTCGCTGCTATTCCAGGTTTTTTGGCCCCGAAAAGGCCAATACACCGTACTTGGGATGCTCTTACCCTTGGAAAGAGCTATCTTACTCTTGATCGTACAGGTATCCTTTGAAGGATGTCCAGACAGAGCCTTGTCCAGTTCTGCCGCGTCCTGGACGAGAATGGAAAATCATTCTCGCAAGCGTCATGAATATACCTCATTCCTTTCGGGCCCTCCACAGCTTCCGAAGAAGCAATGTTTCGTATGCAAACGAGAATAGTGCCGCAAACCACCCTCTTTTACTAACTCCATAAAAATGCTATGAGTCTTCGCGAGACAACCTAGCAGAGATTTCTGGCTGTAGTAAACGGCCTCTTGCCGTTTCTTTGAGCTGCGTGCAGTGATTTGGGGGGATGTAATGGTTTTCTGCAAGTATGTTCAAACAATGGGAACGAGAGACCATCTCGTCATCCCGATGTCCTTTGCCACTCTCACAAGTCTCGTCTGGAATAAACAGCTGGACACGATGAACCCAATACCGATTACGTATAGGCTTCCGCCTTTCATTATTCAGCCTTTCTGCCTCAAACTAGACCATTTAAGATAAAAGAGAACAAGCATACAGAGCCGTATGAAGGTCATCTTGGTCGAGGCTGTAGATGCACGACTGTCGTTTCGTAGTACAGATCTACTTGGAGGCGATGTATCTGGCGACGCTGACTACAGCAGAACCGTCCATAAGCTCCGATTGTAAACCGAAACTATGTAAAGCATCCATGACTCCGTTGTGCAGGTGCACCTTTGTAGTGGATGGAGGATATGACAGAGGCCACTGTTTCTACTCTGCATGACCACCGCGCCCCCTCTGACATTTCAAAATCTGACATATACTATCAATTGCAGTGTTAATTTGCACAATAAGTCCAGTTAACTAAAAGGACGTGACCTTGGCCCGTGGTAGACTCGTCGTCAACTGTATCTCCTCGTACATTGGAAAGAAAAAATATATGTGCGCATTTT